AACATATATAGAAATATATAAATATATATATATATAAATATATATATATATATATATAGCTAAATTGTGCCAAAATAATTAGAAACGCTACCTTCCCATGAGCCGCTTTATGATGTCCTTTACTTCGTCGGCGAAACGAGGAGGCGGGTCTGTCAAGATGAACCTCTTAAAATACTCTCCCATGTACCAGCTGTCCAGTTTGTCATCAATGGGCTCACGAAGGTCGAATCTACGAGGCAAAAGTCCACAATTAACACAAAGCTAAAAGTATTCTAGATGAAAAGATCTGCACAATTCTGGTCCTCCAATAACTCCTTAGCTAAACGGGTATAAATTGAACGTTTCAATGGATTAAACGGTTGGTTGAATAGTCTGGCTACACAAGGTTCGTGCAGGAGCAAAGGTCGACTATGATGACTTACCCTTCTCCCATCAAGCGCATGATGTCATTGGGATCTTTGATCGAGCAGTCCACTTTTTTGGCCTTGGGCTCGCCATTGTCATCTATGTTACTGAGGGTAGGCATAGCATCCATGTCTATTAGGACCACCTGCATAGCCGTAGATGAGTTGAGTGAGAAAACTTGTGGATACAACTGTACCATAAAGCCCACCCACTCTAAACCCTAAAACCTTAGAAACCTAGAACCCTTTTACCACAAGTTATCTTGTTCATTAAAACTGGTATGGCCCAGTTTTCTGACCCCGAGGGACTTGTCCTGCGGCAGTCCAAAGGTCTACCGAGTACTCGATGCGTTCCGGCCCTCACGAACACTATGGCGTAGCGCATCAGGGCTGAGAAAGCTATACTAGACTGCTCACACCACACAGTGTCCGATGATGAAGCAAAACGCCCTATGCGCTCACATTAACAGTACGGCAGAGATACAAAAAATAGTAGACAGCCCTACCATCGACTTGCAAGATTCTTTTTTGCCATTGCAATACAAAATGCCAGGTTTAAACGAGATTGAAAGAGTAAGTCCAGGCATCTCCTGCATGAAATACGTTGGTCCATTCATGTGACTCACTTACAACGGCCCTGACATATACAATGCAGTACTATAAAAGTCCCGAAATGGTCACTCGCACTTATCCCCAACCCAGTTCGATACAATGCTGGCACAAACGTCATTATTTTTCTATACCTAAACAGTCACCTAAATACATTGTTGTGCCATACCTCTAGGTTGGAGGTCACCATGACATTCGACGGCTTGTGGTCACAGTACACCATAGATGCGTTCTTGAAATTGGGATAGGCCACTTCCTGATGTAGTTCCGCCAGAGCGTGTGCGTAATCGATGGCCACAGCAAGCTACAGGATTTAGATAGATGCACTGCAATAAGTTATTTATTCTACATAAATGAGTGTACAACTAAATGCATTATAGATATATCATTATATGCATATATCTTTATACATACATAAATATATATATATATATA